TGGAGCTTTTTTAGATCAGAATTGCAATAGATACTGTTGTGCACCCCCTTAATTTTTAGTTGTTAACTGGCTGTCCATTTGCTGAGTTTTATCGGTAGTGGAATAGTGACGAGGTAAAGCGAGGAACGTTCACAATTAAGAGCAAGCTGTTACCAAGTTTTTTTGATTCAAAATATCACAACTGACAAATCCTTATGATAAGGCCTTAGTAACATTACCATATGCAATTACCAAAAATTGGACCCCTCTTTACCTCTCCAAATACATCAAAGGCAGGAAACGGCTTCAGCCACTACAGTGTATATAAAATATGATTCAGTGACTGTCAGCTGCCTTTTAAAGCAACTACCTGACCTTTCTTTAAATCTACGCCTACGAGAATCTCATGATGTCTCTACTGACGAAGCTCTCTGCAACCGCCAATGTGAGGATGAAAGAAAATTTTGGAGATAGGTTAGTGATACTAATGAGAAGGGTATACTGAAGCAGAGAACTGTAAGAAAAAATAATTTAATTATACTATTTTCGTGATAGGCACTAATCACTTTTTCAAGGTCGAATTCTTTAAAAAGGATCTATTTTAAGATAGTCGGTACTTCAAACTTTCCACATCACCAACAAGAATCAGACAATAAATTTGCTTGGCTTACCTCTTAACCACAAGAACCTCCCGAATGCGTTGGAGGGGGTCAGTATTTCGCATTTCAGGAAATAGTGGTCAATTTTTGGAAGCCACCTTGCTCATGTTTTATCTTTTCGCATTACGTCCGATGAACAGTGAATATTGCTTTGTCAAACACAATTTACCTGCTGTGTGTTTGATCCTACTCAAGACATTTTAGCCTCTTGGGCAGTGATTCTCTCTAGCCCGAAAATCGTCAATATAATATTTCAAACGTACCACCATCTATGTATAACCTATGTATAGCTTGGACATACAATGTTCCAAGGCATCTGAATAATTTAAAATAATTTAATGATTAATTAATTAATTCAAAGATAATAATGTTTTTGGGTTCAACCTAGAGCTGACAAGGCAATAAAGACGTTTCTAGTTGACCAGTAAGGAACAAGATTTTAGCCAATTAATCGAGGTAAATGGTTTACTGGTGAATGTTTAAAATTGAACGTCCACATGCATGTCTATAGTTCTCACTCGAACAAAATATCAGACGGCTGTGAATATGCATGAGACGAGCTCCTAGTTACTGCGATATCAAGTTTTTTTTTTCTCTCTTATTTTCTATGGCTACCATACCTTCCTAAAAAAATACAGAACAGGAAAATGAAAAATGATTAATGTGTGTTTTGTAGCTTGCTGTGCAGAGAAACTGCTAGATAAAACCTGATTTACGTCAATTTATAACAATGTGGTGATTTGATTTCCTTAGCAATGGGCTACGTTCTAAGAAATGTTTGTCTTAGCCTTATTTTAAATATTTCTTAGTTTGCTGGGTCATTGAATTACATCAAACTAAACCCAGAACTCTCTGGCGTCGATCATTATTATATTTAGAGTTTTCTTGCATGTTCAGCCATTGACACGCCAGCCTACTAGCATTCATTAAACAACTATGCGATCAGGAATGAAATTGTGATCATAGAGCATCGATCCAGGGAATCTTTAGTCGATCCTCGGCGAAACATTGAGATCATAAGAGGTTTCATAAACCTAGGCACATACAGCCGCAAGAATAAGCCACTTAATTCAGCGGAATCCTCGTGCAAATAGCAAACTGCATGTAAACAAATTCCCCCCAGTTAGAGGTGAACAGCAAGCTTTATCGCTAAGAGAGCAGAAATATTGTAACTTAGCGCAATAATTAAAAAAAAAATCGCATTTGTCGATCAGCGCGTAGCTTTCTTTTGCCTGGCCGCGTGTTGGAGTTCGGAACTAGACAGAAAGAACAAATTTGGCTTACCTCAGTGTTCCATGGGAAACCATTACACTTTGTGTGCTGCAGAGTGTTTGTGTGCATGTAGACTTTAACATATGATGATTTTAAATGATCTTTATTGAAAAGGGGCTTCCCCTCCACATTAGATCATGCATGATATATAGATAAGATGAACAAGATACAGTCATTCAACTTTGTTTGACGAGATTTGACCAATAGTATCTCACATAGTAATTCTATAATTTAGGTTGACAGACTGTTTTTCGTTTGTGTAATATAATTTTGTTGAGATGGAAACGAATCGAAGAAAATACTAGTACGTGCGACAAAATTTACTCGAAGGAGGAGGAGGAAGAAGTGTGGGTAGATCGATGTTCATCATGAGCTTGAGGGGATCGAAACCTTTGAGTCTTACAATGTGGGAGTTGCTTGAATTACTTGCGGTGAGGGGTGACCATATCAGTGAAGAACGTTCTGGTTAAACATTATAAGTGTTCATTAAAACATGACTAGAGAAAAAACTTATCGTCAAAATTGAGGGTGCAGTTATTTGGTTTGATTCATTTATCAGTGCCATCGAAGCGTGAGTTCTAAATTATTAGCATTTCGCCCGGCGAAAGGCAAGGAGACTCAAGTGGAAATAGGAGGTGCTCTACGTGACTTTTATTTTAAGTTATGCGCTGACCTTTTATCCTGGAATCCATACAGAATTCAGGCGTGATGTCAGCCCCATAATTTGGCCAGACAACGGAGGAAAAATTTCTAGATTGCCACTTCTAATTGACACCAACGTCCCTGAACATTCTAAATGACCTTCCACAATAACCTTGGATGTTCATTTATCAATCCATTTCATGTAAACGCCAAAAGAAGTTGAAGTAATTTTACAACGACTATTTTGGTACATGACTGATGGAATATATGAAATAAGGCTAAACCAACTGTAATTCAACTCCTTGTTATCCGTTTATTGCCAGAAATTGCTTTATTTGCAAGTAAGGGTCGCATCATCAGTTTGTCGTTGAATATGATAATGTCCTATTAATTGCTAATCTTTCAGTCCTTGTATAGTCGTTCTAAACTGAGAAAAAATCTTGAATTAATTAGAGCCAAGGCATTATTCGTACTTACAAAAGAATCAACACCTAAGATGACCATTCTAGGTAGCAAGAATCATCAATTATTTACTTTCAGACCCTTTCAGACTAGTTTAAGCTATCGAAACAGCTTAGTACGCTTTTTGTTGGAGTGTGACCGGAAGTAATAAAGTAAGTATTTCGGTTGATTAGGTTCACTCAATTAACTTGACTTTCGCACTGAAGCTTAAACCCGGCTGAAGCACTCCTCACACGACGGTTTGAATCTGAGATATTACCAAGAGAAACCTAAAAGCTACATAAAACAGCAGTAAACATCTATCTTTTTACTCTTAATTTTGGATATTCAGGATCGCTCGACCGTGGAGATAGCAGACGTGAACGAACAAATCATGCATTACAACTCCATAGCGGATTAAATGTGAACCTCAAAAATTGAGGTTGTTAAGTATTCATATATTCAGGCTATTGTTCTTTCTCATTACTTATTCATTCCGATGAGTTTGCCGACATGCCGGCATGCTTCCGAAGATCGTGAAGAGCGCAACTTCTTTGATGTAGGTGAGATATTTTTCTTTTGTTGACAGATGAAATAAACTCTCCCGGGAATCTGCTTGATTGATGTCTAATAATTGCTACGCATTCCGGTGTGTTGGGCAACATGTCAAGACATCAACCTCGGATCAAACCCAAGCACTTATCAGCTTACATGTCTTTTCAAGCCAACACTAAACTCCATCGCGACAATAAACAACACGGTCAGATCACAACAAGTTCATTCGAACAAGACGAAAGTTGTGAAAGAATGAACCGCCAGCGCGCGAACACGAGCACTATTTATGACACGCAATATTTACATATTAAAGAAGTAGTTTAATTCAAGTGCACTCATTCGTGATCAAAACAAAACGATCGGCGCTCGAAATGATAAACTATTTTCGCTTTTGCTCTTCGAAGTGATTACAACAACTCGTCCAAGATCCATTTTTAAATCTTTTGCGACGCTCTTTAATCCTAAAAACATATTAAGGCATATTATAAAAATACACCGTGAATAGAAAATAAATCATTCAAATGATTGCAGTTTATCGATCTCGAGTTCATTCATCTCAAGACAATGTAAACAAAAGGATACAAGATCACAAGTCTGTTCGCGCAAGGTAGCTTAATTACACTATTGTCCAAGTCTTTTGAAGTACCTTCCGCTGTTCCTTTGGTCTTCTTCCAAAATATCTCACCTTTTTCGAAACGAATAAAACCGAAATCATTCGACACGTTTTCGGCAGCCACCGAAAGCAATGCCCAAAGGAATAAACCGAGCCTTCGAGGTAAAAAATCCAGCGGTGTCACCCATTTCAGTAAATCACAAATAATCCGGGCTGGAGTTGTAATGTGCGAGTACAAAATTTATGGCCTTCATAGAAGAGTAGCGAACACCGGTTATCAAGACATTTAAATCTATCTGTCTTAAAGAAACTACGGAATATACATATAAGATCAGTTTCGTTGGTCTTCGTTAGGACGAGATAAGGGCTGGCGTGACATAGACTGAGAGTCACAAATACAGCAGGACTCAAGTTTTAATCTTTTTTTTTAAATCGCACTTCGGTGACTAAAAACCATTAAAAAATATATAAATTATAAGAAATTTACAAGGAGAGTTGTGTTGCGAGAGAATTGATATAACGTCCACAACGTATGTAAATGATTGTGCTGAATCTGCGAAAAAATTGTAATGTTCGTTTTTTTTCATCACATTTTACAATTATCTACTCTAAATGGATATCTTCGTGTGATGTTTGCATGCCTTAGATTGGTTTTTGCAATAGAACTGGTTAGCACTCGTATTTTTTCCTCAGTAAAAGCATTTTTCTCACACAAATGTTAGGACATATCTTTCTTGCAACGCGAGCAAAATTCAAATTTTGTCAAGATATTGCGAAAATTAGAAAATAATCGAGTTGTATCGGTATAATGATAATAATTGGTTAAAAGTTGCACTTACTTGCCACACCTGTGTTAGACTGTACCTTGGTAAGGCTCTATTCGCAAGTTTTATCTTCGGCTTCCAGAGCTTAACATCTAGCTGAAGTGTTGATTGCAAAGGCATCTGTCACTGCGCAACAAGATTTTAACCCTGTGACTTGATCACGTGCTTAAACTTAGGGTATTTCCCGCTTATGATACAAACTGACATAAAGGCAAAAAGAAAGAAAAGAAAAGTGGGAATTAAAGATACAGGTAGTTATGCACGCTGAGAATTTTCCTCGTGCAACAATTTTTTTTCCGTTTAGCCTCTATTAATTGTCTCTAAAGAAGTTCTATCGCGCGTTATTGGCACAAAAAAAATTGTATTTCGCTGACATTTGCTGACGGTGGTATTTCGATTTATACAAGTTAGATCACAACTACAAAGTTATTACAATGAAATATGGATGTTTTCATTGTCAAGTCACCATTAAATATTAAATAAAGTAAACGTGTAGAATAAGTTATTGTGTGCATTTTGCTGACTTACGAGTTTTGTCGGTGGACGTATTGTAAAATACGATGATCTCATATCATCATGCATCAACGCCTACGTGTAGCCGTACCCTTACCCCGCAAGGGAAACGGAGTTTCACTTTGCGGGGGAGGGTACGGATATACAGTTAGGTCGTCTTAGTCGGCCCAATCCTCGGCTCGGCGAGTTCTAGGATGGCGTCCGTTATACATTATCCTAAATCTCGGAGAGATGAAAATGCGGTAAATGATTATCATGGCTCGAAGATTCACGATCCTTACGTTTGGTTGGAAGACCCAGACTCGGAGGAAACGAAAAGATTTATAGAACAGCAAAACGCTATTACGATGCCCTATTTATCAGCTTGCGAGACGAGAGAAAATTTCAAGAACAGGTATAAATGCGGGCTTTGTTTTAGGACCAAGGTCACACAAGAAATCACTAGTCCACGTTTCCATTTGGTAGACTCAATCCCCTAAGAAGATTAGCTCAAAACGAGTTATCACCCCGGGAAAATTCAGCAGAGTTTTCGTGATTTTTCAGGTCCCGCATTTTTGCGTTCAGAATGACATGTGCAAACTATACGGGGATATATTGAATTGTTATAGTGTACCTTAATGGGTGTCAAATGATTTCCTTACGAAGTCTCTACTTATGTTTCTTTATTTATTTACTTTTATATATTTTTTGGCATGATTTTATTGATTTGACATGACATTGATTTGACATGACTTCCCCCAGCTCAGACGTTAAACGTTTGTAAAGGACTTAAAAAGGTTGTAAACAAGTCACCATTTCCATTGACAAATGTGATTAAAAAACGATTTCAATTAAAAAAAAAAACTGAAAAATAGATAAGGATGGAATTAAAAAAAAAAAAAGCGAAAAAGAAACTGATAATAAAAATGCATATTTTGAGTGAACAAAACAAAATGTATGAAGTAATGTTATGTCAATAGGTTCCAGTAGTTCAGTTGATTATAATGGTACTTCTTTATTTCAGGCTAACTGAGATGTGGGACTATCCAAAGTATGGTTGTCCAATTAAAAAAGGAGCAAAGTACTTTTACTTACATAACTCTGGTCTGCAAAATCAAAGGTGCAATATCTTAGAGGCAATGACCTTTGTTGCGTACGAAAATGCATAAAAAAACACAAAAACCAGGCACTTTTACTAGGAATTTATGCATTTCATGTTTGAATTGCCTGTTCAAGCACTGTTCAGAATGAAGAGAAAGGACAAGATCCCCATGAACTTTTCAAGTACATTTTACAGTTGAAAAATAAATTTTCTTGAAGCTTTCTTCTGACTCACAATTCAACATTCAAAGTCTGTTCTTTTTTCATATAAAGGACAAAATTTACATGGTTGTGTATTGTGACTGATTTATTGATATTTATCAGGCTAAATCAGTAACAGGGAGATGTGGTTTTAGATCAATTATATGCACATTAATATAGAATTTAAAGCTTTACTAGGGCAATATCCCTGTATCTCTTTATTAACTAAAAAACTAACTGCATCTTTCATGTAGATTCAGTGAGCGGTTCGACCCAAGGAAAGCAGTTGACTGTGTTGTATAATTGTTCAGGTTACATTAATCCCTTAATTAGGAACTGTTGTCTGTGCTAGCAACAAGCAGAACATGGGGTATTTTCAGAGTCAAGAGTAATAGAATTATAGATCTCTTCAAGCACTCCAGGACATTTGTATAAGGTGCATAACTGTTTCTCTTTCTTTCTTGATACTTGATTAATGATGATGTGTGATTTATATACATTGTAGTGTTTTGTATGTCCAAGACTCTTTGGAAAGTGAAGCACAAGTATTTCTTGACCCCAATAAACTGTCTGAAGATGGTACTGTGGCATTGGCTAAAAGATCTTTCTCTGATGATGGAGAGTTCTTTGCTTATTCGTTGTCACATAAGGGATCAGATTGGGTCACCATAAAGGTACTGATAGTATGCTTGCACAAAGAGTTTATTAACCAGCACTCTTGAGCTTGGTCTGTTTTGGTTGGCATAGCGAGTATAAATAAATTTTGATGACCAAAAGTTGCCAATTTAATGATATGTCATTTACTTGTAATAAGGTGTATAATTCTCATTACTTTGTGTTTAACTAGTCTCAAGTCATAATAAGATAGTCATTTACATACTATCAATGCTTTACTGTTTTCGTTAATAAACTTCTTGGTGACCATGTCATGATGTGTGGTTCCCTCTGGGCAATTTCGGAATAAAGTTGTTGTTGGAGCACATTTGATTTCCTTATAAGGAAAAGTAATGATAGCTGTGTAGAAATTGGAAACTCAAGCAAGGTCATTCATGAAGGTCTGATTTCCTTATGGAACTTTAGTCTTTCTAGGTCTAAAAGTTACTCCAGATGAATTTATTACAGACTAACATAATTAAACCAGCTCCCATTTGGTTTGTTAGCTCAATTGACAGAGCACTGCACCAGTATTGCAAAGGTCATTGGTTCAAATCCTGCCCCTACAGGCCTTAATATTTTTAAAGTCTTGTGTTCACTATATCCTTAGTTAGTAGTGTTCATTACTGCAAAGATTGCTGTCATATTCATTTCTTGAACCACTGTTCACATAATTATATGATTTTTATATATTTGCAATCATAGATGAAACTATGTAGATTAAAATTTAAATCTTGCTTGCTTTTCCTCTCCCAGTTTATGAAGGTAGATGGTCAAGAACAGTTGCCAGACACTTTAGAGAATGCAAAGTTTACAAGCATGGCTTGGACACATGATAACAAGGGATTATTTTACAATGTGAGAACTACATATAATTTCTTCATAATCAAATGGCTTTAAGGATGTTCAATAAGGTTTTTCCACAAGCTTTTGTGGGGTCATTATTTTTCTCTTATAACAGAAAATTCTGCCAAGGGTACTAAACTTTTGCTGGCTAACATGTTCTTTAAATTTGTTAAACACACTCTCTTGTGAAATGGGAGGACTCTTATCTATATGACCAGAGTGCTGAACAAGACGAGAGCAATATGAGAAGACAAACTCATACCTAAGCCCATATTTTTGGGGTCAGGTAAATAAGTTCATGAGATTTTACATAGAATTTTGTTTCTGTTACCTTCCTCTCTCATTGAAGAGGGGATGGGGACACAAGGCCTCATCTCATGGACAACCACTGATCAGTGGGCTGATTAATGTACTAGTGGTTCAGAGAGATGAATTTCCTATTGTTGATGGTGACGATAGATGCTGATGGGACATGAAAATTTATTGTCATGTTTATTTATTTTATTGATACTTAAGTTTAGAAGGTTAGTTTAATTGGTTCTAATATATATGTAAATAATTTTTAAATTTTAAGCGTTACCCAACTGGTGACAAAGCAGATGGAACAGAAACTGATCTAAACCTCAACCAAAAGGTTAGTGGTAATGTACTTAGAATACTGTGAAATTTTAAACCTCTTCCTATTTGAAGTTAAGAAAATAATGGTTAGGGTGCAAAATGCTTGCAACCATTGAGTTATTGATGCATGAGGGAGATTTATAGGCATGAAAGAAGGGTATGAGTCCTACAGGGTGTTGGCTGAGTGCGACTCTAGCTTTTTGAGTGCATCCATGACTCAATGGTTCCATTTCTTTTATAACATTGGGACTTTCAAACATCTTTTGTTTAACGTAGAAACAATGAGCAAACAAACTGATGTCATTATGCAACCCACAGGCAAATGGATCGAACGTATTAGCCAATCAAAGCATGTGCTTTTGTAAAGCCAATTGTTTTAAAACAGTGTAATCAGTTGTCACTCACCACATACAAGTTGAAAAACAATGACAAGCTGTAGGGGCTTTAATAAGATCTACAGCTACACTGTAAGAGGTCTATTCAGATGTACAAGTGTGAGTCTAATGCTTTCATGGAACATTAAGCAGGAAATATCAAGCAGTTGTACATCATTGTTCCTTTAAATTTTCGTAACATTGTTAAGTATAGTTTTATCTTTGTTTTACCAACAGCTCTATTACCATGTTCTTGGAACCAGCCAATCTGATGATGTTCTCTGTGCTGAATTTCCTGAGCATCCAAAGTGGTCTACGTAAGTTACTATGTTTACATAACAATACATTCAGTAGATTTTGGAATTAGGAAAACTAAGCAACACAGAACAAAACAAACTAACCAAAAAAAAAAAAAAAAACGGGATACCACTACAGCAAGAGAAACAAACTACCTTTGAGCTTACTTGGAGATCTTTTTGTCACAAAAAAATATCAATTGTGTACCCTGTGCAAAGAACTGACTTTGCATATTTTGTTGTGAAGTGTGATGTATTTTGACCCTGCTCAGCAAAATGTGATGTTGTTCAGGTGATTGTCACAAAGGGATAACTGCACGGGCCATTGATACTGTGTTGCCAGAATCAAGAGCTAAGAGAATAAATCTCGCCACATTGAGCGTTTTTTGGAGCGACTATAAGTACGCGAGCTGATCAAACTTCACATTTTTTGTGAAGGAGGGGCTGGGGGTGTGTTGTGTGCGGTAAGGGGGATGGGGATTGGGGATTGTAAAATATGTCACGTGTTTAAAGCCATAATCGAGCTGGATTGTTTCGAAATTTTAGGCTTAAACGGTATAAATTTAGCTCTTAAAAATAAACAATTCGCATGAGTAACGCGGAATTCTAAGATAATTAAAATTGAGGCGACTTGAATTTCACGAGGTTCTATAGCTAGGACACAAGAACACAGTGGAGCTATATTTTTTCATAGCATCGTGCTTTGAATCTCAAGTTACGAAGCATGCCATTTCAACAAACAGGCTTACATGGACATTTAACGACATAATTATTATTCTATGATTGTCTTACAGAGGTGCAGGAGTTAGCGACTGTGGAAGATATTTGATTTTAACCCCTCATGAAGGCTCTGCCCCATTCAATAGACTCTTTTACTGCGATCTCAAATATCAAGAGGGTATTACAGGTGAAAATTTTGTTATCTCTTTTTTAAAACATGTATATTTGGCATTTTTGTCTGTAAAACAGGGCGGCTTTGCGTAAGGTTCCGGGAGAGTGATTTTTTTTAACCATAAAGTGTTATTACTCACATTTTCCTAAAGATGTACAATACTCGTTCATCTTTGGTAAACGCACAGCTTTCTTTTGATCCTCCGTAACACAAACCGAGGGCCAGCGGTTTTGGTCCTAGCACGGAGCATCTCATAGGTCGTGTGACACGTTGCTGCCCGACCTATGACATATTTGTGACTGGTCACGCTTTTCACACGGACCTCGCTTACGTCACCCATCTGTCACTACGCACGAAATGCGTAATGACAGATGGGTTCTTGACTTTTTTTCTGTAGTTATTATAACGTTCTTTAGCTTTTACCAGAAGAAACCATTCTAATAATTTATCCCTCTAACTCCTAGGATGCAACTGTCAATTCTCCCCCTCGAGAATTAGGCGTTAGATCAACCTTTTTCCTGATAAGTTTGGGCATTCTCGTTATCTGTTTGCCTGACAATGTCCGGATATTATAGGGAGAAGTTGCATGTTAATCGTTAGTGGAAATTAAAGGATTGAGACGAATTCTACACCTTACATGGTATTTCTTTTTTTTTATTTTTCTGTGTGTGGCAGGTTTGCTTCCTTTTGTGAAGGTTGTGGACAATTTTGATGCACAATATGAGGTGATTAGAATGATAATTATTGACTGATAGAGGTGAACGAGTTTTGAAATCCAGTTTGGAGCGACTTCTCTACGCAGAGGGAAGTTGCAGAGATCTCCATGTAGAGGCACTGGGGAATTTGACCTACGTGTGTTCAAATCTTTCTTCCGCTTCGCTCCTACATTTGTGTCTACAATCCGCAAGCCTTGTCATTAAAAAAAGTGCTATTTACCTCTTTAAATATTAATGTAGTTATTTGAAATTTGATAAAGGAAGATTTTTTCCTCATTATTTTTAACAATTATTTTTACTCTTTAGTACATTACCAACGAAGGAACACTGTTCACCTTCAAAACGAATTTCAAATCTCCCAAATACAAGTTGATTAACATAGACTTTTCAAAACCAGAAATGGTGAGTGTTATTCTTGTACATGTAATCACACTTAAAACAAATAATAGGAAGGGTGTCTAATGGTTTTACAGTTTGCAAGGAAAGGAAACACATGATCATTGCCGTATCCTGAGAAAGGAAAATGTGGTAAACAGTATCGACATGAGAGTTGAAAATATCATCATGTGAAGGATTTTTTTTATGCTCTGATCTGGCTAAAAATTCTCATTACTTTTAGAAAAAGATGAGACTATTTAGCAGACATTTCGGGCTTCAGAGGCAGAATAACTTTTACTCTGTGCTGGTCGCCCAGTTGTGGTCCAAGTTGCTTTCAAGGCCTGTGTTTGGAAGGCTGTAAAAATTTCTGTGAATTTGCATTAATCAAGGGAAACAGGATAGTAAATTACGATTTTGAACGAAATTCCTACTTTCATACACCAATGATCGTTATCATTGTCATTGTTGGTATGAACATTATTATTACTATTATTATTTTGACGATCGTTATCATTATTTGCATATTTTGTTAAGGAAAACTGGACCACTTTGGTTGAAGAAGACGAGAACGACGTCTTAAAATGGGCTACCTGTGTCAAACAGAACTTTCTGGTACTCTGCTATCTTCATGATGTCAAGGTGGGCTATCTGTGTTTTGAACACTGCACGCGTTCTTGAAGGTTTTTAAGAGAGAAATGCGGGCCTGATTTGGTCTAGAAACTTAGGCTAGCACTTCAAAGTAAATATACAGTATGTTAGATAAAGATGTTAGTGTTAATTCTGTAGTGAATCTTGCCTACAGAGCATTCTTCGCCTTCACAAAATCACTGGAGAAAGACTCATGACCTTCCCACTCGATATCGGCAGCATTGTAGAGCACTTTGGAAAGCGGAAGGATTCAGAGGTAAGCAGTTCCAACACTGCAATAGTCACTTACTAATATGTATAATACATATTAGAATGATTAAAATAATTTCACGGATGAATGTTCCATCGATTTTAATAATTATTCATCGATTTCTATATTTTGTACTCAGTTGCATATTCTTACTTTAAGGCAGGTATAGATATACAGGATAAAAAAAATTACCTGCAAGGGGACACTGTAACCTGCACGAAAACCTTTTACCCATTCACGGCCAAAAAAAAGAAAAAAAAAGAAAAAAAGCTGATCATTTATAAGTCTAAAGCTTAGGTGTTTATGTATTTAGTGCAAGCCAATACCTACATAACGCTTTCCTTGCGTTAATATTTGCTTACTTTTTCTTTCTTTCAGATTTTCTACAAGTTTACTTCGTTTCTGACTCCTGAGGTCATCTATCGTTGCGATTTGACGCAGGAAGATCCCCAACCCAAGGTTTGCATTTGAAAGTCAGTTCAATTCAGTCACGGTCCTCTGAAATGTTCTCGACCTCATGTCAGACCCAGTAAAAGGTCTTAGGGTGTTTTGAAACAGTGTATTTTCTTGGCAGGTTTTTCGTGAAACAAACGTGAAAGGGTTTGACTCAAGTCAGTACCAGACTGTCCAAGTGTTTTATCCAAGCAAAGATGGAACTAAGATCCCAATGTTCATTGTTCATAAGAAGGTGAGTGCTAGAACCAAACCCAACAGCCTCCTCATAGGTCAACCCTTTTACTTCTAATATCTCATTAGTAATTCTCCTTACTGTCTGCGATACAATTCTTATTATGTTGGTTCTGAGAATTTGATATTGAATCAACTAATAATCCTTTAACTGTAATTTTTATTTATTCTCGTTACTTGTTTGTTTACTATTGTATTGATTTGGTAAGGAGAAAGTCTGTCTTGGTCACTCATGAGAGTTAAAGGGTTAAACAGACGGCAGTGAGAGGTCTTGTAGGTGGTGGTTGACCATCCCTAACTAGCATTCTTTGAGACCCCTGTTATTGTAACTCAACTCCGCTGCCATTAGGATCGTGTGCTCAACCAGACCAACGGATAAGTCAGGATGCTGTTGTCTTGTTGAACAAACGATCCTGATGGTTTTTGTTCTCATTATTGGTTTTCTTTCACTAATCCCAAGTATATAGTCTGTCGTTGCTTTGTTCTTTTTCTTATTCCTTTTATTTTCATGTAGTATGAATAACAATTAATTATCTTATTTCTTTTGTATTTTTATTATTTGACTTTTCAGGGTATCGAGTTAGATGGAAGCCATCCGCTGTACTTATTTGGTTATGGAGGGTTTAACATATCAGTCACGCCGTCCTTCAATGTGTCAAGGATCGTGTTTATGAGACATCTCGGAGGCATCATCGCCATACCAAACCTGAGAGGTGGAGGGTAAGTCATATATACATTACCACACCCAACCTGAGGGGTGGAGGGTGAGTTATATGCTCATTCAATACGCCGCCATTTACCTCACCCAACAGAAATACACATCGCCAGAAAAGTATGTTTATTGCTCCGCGCATTTAAAAAAACCAACGACGTGAACACTTTAAAACTTGTAAAAGCTAAGTTTTTCGTTTGTCTCACGATGTAGTCACGTGTATCGAGCAGTCACTGCACCGA